ATATCATCATAAAATATATTTTTTCATAATTTGTAGTCCACTCGATCGAATATATCCGAAACCGAAATATATCCGAACCGGACTAGACCCGAAACCGAAATATATCCGACTCAAATTGTATCCGAATCAAAATCTATCCGAACCGATTCATAACCGAACCGTATCTGAACCGACTCGAAACCGAACCGAACCGAAAAATGTATAGAACCGAAATCAAATCCGAACCGAAATTTAACCGATCCGAACCGAACCGATTATAACATATAATCGAAATATATCCGAACCGAAAAAGTTCAATCCGGAACCGATCCGGTTGATCCGATTGCCACCTCTATAAATGGGTGCCCCGGAGGGTGTGCAAAGTGATCAACCGCAAAGGGTACCTCAAATTTTATGGTCGTATATTTTTAAATTTATTATTAATTTTGAAGTATAAGCATTCTAAAATAATAAAATAAGGTACAAAATGTAAACTTCGGACCGGGCTACTTTCATTTTTTCATCTTTTGAAGCCGGCCTACTGGTATACGAGATGTGATTATTTTTTGTGAGTGTGAGGTTTTAGTCCGTGCTTTGAATCAAGGGAGAAGTTTTGATTCTTCTTCCTATTTAAGGTGGATTCTTGACGCTTGTTTTGAATTGTCATTTTTCTTTTCATATGCGGTCTTGCAGATACCTTGATCATCAGCTATTTTATGAAAGTTTGGATAAGTGGAAGTGACTACAGTTGCTATTGGATCTCTTGAAGATTGAAGCAACGTATCATCAGACAGTGTTACTTCTACATAACCATCATGATCATCTCATGCAACTCTGTCGCCAAAACGTACTTGCAACCTAGTTAGAAAAATCAACTAAGCGATCGTAACTACTATCTTGAATCATTGACCACGGTCGCATATTCTTTGTTAAACGCAAAACTGTGTAGTCTTCCAAATGCAAGAAGAATTAATAGTTGAACTAACAACGTCTATTGAAAATCTCGTTCATTTTAATAGGAAGACTCCTAATATTATTTAGTTTCCTTATTCTTGTATTACCATAATTACTTTATTCCTTTCCTACTAGGAATAGGACTCTCTCTTGTAATCCCTATATATAGGGACATATCTCTCAATATTCAATAAGACAAATTATTATCAAATTGTATCATGGTATCAGAGCCTATGTTTAAACCCTAGCTCTTTTTTTCGAGACTGTGCCTCACCGCCGGTCTCCTTCCTCTCGCCGGTCGACCATAAACGGCGACCATGGCTCAATCTTCAGATCCGCTTGCTTCGCTTCCTTCTGGCGTCAAGCTTCTTCTCCGCAATCTCCATAATCTTATCCCAGAGAAGCTCACCGATTCAAATTATCCTGCATGGTCTCTCAATGTCAAAACTGCTCTCGAGGCCAACCTTCTTCTTGGTTGGATC